GTGGTGGCAGAAGGGGGTGACAACACGGGGGGTGGCGACACGGGGGGCGGCGGCGACTCCGGGGGCGTCGACTCGTCGTCGTCGGCGCGGTGCCGCTTGGCGTGCCGGCTCAGCGCCGCCGCCGTCTTGCACACCTTGGCGCAGCGGGCGCAGGCGAAGCGCAGCGACGGACGACGCCCCACCCGGGGGGGGGGCCCCGGGGACGCCGCCGGACCCCCCTCCCGTCCCCGGTGCCGGTGCCGGTGCCGCGTCGTGTCCCCGCTGGTGCTTGCGCAGCTTCCGCAGCGCCGTGAAGCTCTTCCCGCACACGCGGCACGGGTGCTGCCGCTCGTGCCGCCGCCGCCCGTCCCCCCCGGCGCCGGTGTCACCGCCGTCGTCGTCGTCGCCCGGCGCCCACCGCAGCGAGCGCAGCTTGCGGCGCCAGCGCGGCTTCTTGGCCGACGCCGACGCTGCCACGCCGGGGGGCCCGAGGCCGGGGATCCCGGTGCCGCCGCCGCCCGCCTTCCGCTTGGGCTTGTAGGAGTAGTAGGGCCGCCACAGCCGGTCCTCGGCGTCGCTGTCGTCGCGGGCGGCGGGCGAGGCGTCGCCGGCGGTGCCGGTGCCGGCGGTGTCGCCGCGCAGGTCGTTGCCGGAGATGCGGCGCTTCACGATGGCCTCCTCGCCGATGCGCACCGTGATCTGGCACAGCCCCTCGCCCGCCGACCCGGCGTATGCCGGCTTGGCCACGTAGGTCATGGTGCGGCCGCCGCCGCCGCCGCTGCCGGTGCCGCTGCCCGCGGGGGTCCCGGTGCCGGGCGGCGGGTTGGGGGCAGGCGCCGCGGCGCCGTTGCTACCGTCATTGTTGCCGCTGTTGCCGTCGGCCGCCGCGGCCGCCGCGCGCTGGGCCTCGATGTAGTCGCGCAGCACCTGCTTCTTCATGGGCACCGCCGGCGCCGCGGGCGCCGCCGGCACCTCGGGCACGCCCGGCGCCTCCTCGGCCGCCCGCCCGTTGTAGGCGATGACGGAGGCGGCGGCGCCGCTGCCGCGGACGATGACCGAGGGTGCGGCGCGGCCGTAGGCGATCACCGACGCCGGCTCCGGCCGCGGCGGCGGCACCGGGAAGGCCGCGGGGGCCGCCGGGGCGTCGCCGCCGGGCGCGGCGGGGGGTGGCAGCAGGACCCCCCCCTCGTCCGTCACCGCGCCCTGGCTGTAGGTCTTGTAGGGCCGCTTGTGCGCCCGCATGGGCAGCAGCCGGTAGAGCTTGAGCGCGTTGAGCTTGGGCCGGTAGCCGCCGTTGGGCGTCTTCTCGGAGGCGATGAGCCCCGGGCTGATGCCGTGGAAGGCTTTTTGGTGCGTCTTGAGGTTGTAGTAGGTGACGAAGGTGTCCCAGCAGAAGATGCACTGGTAGCGGCGCTCGCCGGTGTGCCACACCTCGTGCTTGGTGCGGTACTCGGCCAGCGCGAACACCTTGTCGCAGTAGCGGCACGGGTACTTGCGGCGCCACGAGTGGACGTTGGCGTGGCGCTTCAGGCTGGACAGCGTCATGTAGGAGCGGTGGCACACCCCGCACAGGTACAGCACCTGCCCGTCCACCACCTTCACCACCGGCTCCTGCTCCGGGCCCGGCTCCAGCAGCGCCCGGTGCCGCAGCAGCAGCGCCTTCTTGCCCGCCTTGGGCGCCGCCGACGCGGCGCCGCCGGTGACGCCGGTGGTGGTGGTGGTTATTGTGGTGGTGGCGGCAGCAGTGACGGCGGCGGCAGCCGAGTCCCCGTCGCGACAGCCGACCTCGTGCGTCTGCAGGCGCTTGACGTGGATGAAGCTCTTGCCGCAGTGCCGGCAGGCCAGGCCGCGGCGCCCGCGGTGCAGCTTGGCGTGGAAGGCCAGCGCGGCCGCCGAGCCGAAGCCGCGCCCGCAGAGCCCGCAGCGCAGCGACGGCGACGCCGGCGAGGCCGGCGAGGAGGAGGCCGGCGACACCGGC